TACTACTAGTACTACTACTACTACTACTACTACTCTACTTCTACTTCTACTTCTACTACTACTACTACTACTGCTGCTACTACTACTACTACCACCACTACTACTACTACTACCACCACCACAAATACCACTAGTATTACTTCTATTGACCCTACTACTGCTGCTGCTACTACTACTACTACTACTACTGGTAGCCGCCCCCTGCCAATCATGTTCCCTCGAATGCCCGGGATAGGTAGTCAAGAGGCTAAAAATAATAGGGTTGTAGTGAACCTCCCTCACATAGGCGACAACAATCAAAACTAGGTACGTACCAATTTTGAGCATACGTGCTCTTCAAATTTACATGATTATGCTGCCCCATGCCCACCAAACCCATCCCCTTGACCCCCCCCCCAACTCCTCCCTGCATCCCCCAGGTTTGACGGAAAAACAAAGCCTTTCGGCATTTCACAGAAGTGAGGATTTCCGCAGGTTTTTTGATACAGTGTTTCATTATGCGCAATCACGGAAACATGCTTGGTAGGAGGGGACGCCAGCTACCTGTAGTAATCCTCCTCTTCCTGATGCTGCCGCCGCTGCAACTGCAACAGCTTCTACTACTTCCTCTACGGCAAACACTCTGCCGGGGTTATATGTGGCCTGCCTTTGCAGTGTGCTTGCAACGTTTTGACGTTTCAGAAGCGGACCGGGTGTTGAAAACTGCTTGCCTATGCGGAGATCTGGAAAGGCTCCATCGAAGGCATCACCTGCGCAGCCAAGAAATTCTCGTACTGCTGAAACCATGCGGTACAGAAGGATCAAAACAACAATGTCTCGCTAGCATGCTTTCAAGTAGCTCAAAAACTGTCGCAGCTCGTCTTTGAGTGCAGCGGAGATGGACTCGAAGACGTGCTTCTTCAGAAGGCCGCTGGAAAACAGGCCCTTGACAGTAGGTTTTTCATTTTAGTGAGGGCAAAGACGAAGTGAAAGTTCCAGCGTCCAAGTCCCAGCCTTGAAGAGGTAGTCAACAGTAGCAGACAAGGCAGCTTCACCTTGCAGCGCTCGCGGGTGTCTTGCACCCCGGGAGGCCATGGCTTGGGCATGGACATGAGTTCGTTCAACACAGCTTGCAAAGCTTTGGTGATGGGTGATGGGCGCCATAGCACCCCAATAGCCTCTTCAAGCATTCACGAAACAACAACCTGCGCAGGAATACCTGACTCTGCTAGAACCCGCTGTGGTGTGGGGTGCCGTTTGGCAACACAACAGCAAATTGCTGGCACGCTGGAACTATTCCGCTGTCATGAGCCACAATGCTGCCACCAGAGAAGCAATGGAGCACATGCCGCAAATCTCAACGAGTTTTGGAAGCAAGTTCCAAGAACACGGCATAGCTTTAAAAGACAGCTGAGAAAGCAAACTTTGCAAAAATCTGACAGCCCGGCTCCTCCCACGAGATCATCCTCGTGCCAGTCAGTGGATCATCACGAATCACTCTTCGCGTAATGTGTAAAGCTCGCGAAGGGAATGTCACAGAACGGCGTTGAGAAGCAGGCCTGTTCTTCAGGATGCATGGCCCAGAGTGGCAGAATGAGGCTTCGCAGCATGTAAGGCTCAAGCAATGACTGCAAGCTGCAGCTATTCTTCAACCGGACGATTGCCTATGTGAAGTCTCCATGTGGCAGAGGACTTCTCATCCGCTGTGGCAGCTATTTCTTCCAAAGACTGTCACCCTACACGAGCACTGGTCTCAAGTCTTCCCCGACGATGCTAAGCTGGCACAGGATAACGTGAGTGGTTTGAGCACGGCAACATGCCCACATCAAGAACATCTGCCAGAAGTTCCTGCACAAAAACCTGCCGAGTCAACTGCTAGCCCCCCGACCCATTTTGTTCGACGCAACGCTGGGCAACATTGGCGTTCATGGGACACTGGCTCCAAGTTGGAAATGTGCGATCTGGATTCATTCAAGCTGAGAAATCCGCGGCTTCTGGCTGCAAGTGAATGTGAAGGCAGGAGTTGAGATCGCCACCCTGGAGGACAGTGGCAAGTCCTGTAGGAGAATGAGGCAACTCTGTAAAGCTCTCAAGCATGCACTCCGGAGGTTTCGCAGTGCTTGCTACTAGTACAATGGCTCTCCAGCAACCCTTGTTGGGATGCTGAAGAGGTGACGACGCTGGGCCAAAAACCCGAAAAGGATGACAGCTGAGCTCCGCTCAAAGCTAATTTGGCTCTTGGCTTGACATAGAGCACTAAAATGGAAGCTTCACTTGTGGAAGCTGGCGGAACTCGCGTCGTCCAAGACTCCAGTCATGATACCAACGGCATGGAAGTGAGACAGAGGGGGGCGCAGCTTCACTTCCCATGAATCTGTCACCCTCTGTGCTTCAAATACACACTCGCCTTGGAACTCCAAGACCACGTGCTCTGACTCGACTCTTCCGGGCAAGACATGCCTTGGAACGCTTGGAACGCTTGGAACACTGGCACTGCGCACTTGCAGATGCTCGTCAGTTTCACGAGAAGCCATGGGAACACACGAAGGCATGGGATCAGACAGCCTTTAAGCTAGACAGTGAGAACTGCAACTACCTCCTCAGCCCTCCTCAGCCGCGTAGCAAGTGGTCCCATCTACGCGCACGGTACAGCCGCGAGATGGATTCACGGAGCGGCTTTACTTGCGGACAGTCCTGAAAGGGGCTATGTCTTTGTGACTTGTGACACATCCAACATCTTAGCTGTGTAGCTCGCTCTTCATCAAGATTGAGATACAAGGTTCACCCCTTTTCTGAAAGGAACTTGGGAAATGTGGTTGGCACACGTGTTTCAAGCCATCCGTCCTGGACACGCAGCATCACAAATTCAATCTGCAGCAAGCCCAGGCGTCTCTTGCTCTTGAACCGCAGCACTCCCATTTCTCGTGATTCACCTGCACAGCCCATGACATTTTTAGTCTTTGTGACAAAAATGATGCTTTCTAGATGTTTCTGGTGTTGCAACAATCAACAGCCATCCAATCTGAGAAATGCCGAGGCCGAAGTCCTGAAGCGCCCAGATCTAAGGACCACATGCTATGGACATTTCCCACCCCCACCCCCAATCTTGGGAAACCCTGAAATCCCTACTACATAAACCCCGTTTCCATTTCATGCTCCATGTTCTTTTCCATTCTATTCTCCATTATTGGGGTACTATCCCCATACAAACCTTCCCCGCTCTCAGGATGCACTTCACTCCCAGGAGTTTGGGTTTGAACCAGGGCTCTTTTTCTGAACATTTCGGAGGTTTGGCCTGGGAGTCCGGGCTGATTATTATGCGGCTCTGTAGCAAACATGCCAGCAATTGAAGTACATGTACGTGAAACTGGCAATCGCTCCTCGCATTTCGGATTGATCTGCTTTCCGGGAGCCTGCAACCAGCACGCTCGACAAATTCTGTTGGCTGATGTCGGTGCTAGCCAACTTCCTGCGCCCCGCCTAGACCTTCCCAGACGTCACAAAGCAAGTATTCCTGCAAGAGGAAAAGCCAAATGTCCCGTGGCAGGAGACCCAGATATGTGCATGGCCTTGTCCCCCGGACGGTGGAATATTTTGCCGCGATAGAGATCCAATCCCTGAAAGACAAGCTTGAGGAGCTGTATCAAGGCCAAGCTACGGCCGTCGTGGTGCTCGTGCCTCGACACTCAATGCAAACTGCCGACCTGCACGTCCTGGTGAACGGCAATTCTCAAACAAATGCGTTTCCCAGTCAGCATTTGTCCTCTTCGGCGTGTTGAGACTACAGAGTACGAGCCATCTGCATCTTTGGCAGTGTACTGGAAGCTCATACCTGGCAGCAACACTAGTGTGAGGTCAGAGCCACGTTTCCATGCTTGTGGCTGCAATTGCCATCCAAAGCACCATCAGCCCCCGGAATGCTGCACAACTTCTGCAGCACCCCATGTGACTCTGCAGCCACCGCAGTCAGCAAGCGCGATCGAACCTTGCGCCAGAACCAGACAGGGCTTAAGCATGACATTCTAGCTTACGAATGCTTACCAGCTACCCTCTAACTGGAAGCTACATGCTTGGTGCTGAGATCGGAGAACATGACGGCTCAACAGCAAGGCCTTCCAACCATGCCATATGCCCAGCTCGGCCAGCTGAGCAGATCGGCCTCAGAGCGAGCAAGAGCAGGTAAGGAAAGGCCATCAGACATGTGGACGCAAAGGGCGCATCCGCTGATGCAGCTTCTTAAGGCTGCCTGAGCTAGGGCCGACTCCTTTCTGCAAGCAGCTCGCATTCAGGATAACCTGCACGGAGTCCCCACCAAGGGAGGACAGGTGCACCTGAATCCAGAGGAACAGTCACTGCTAGGCACTCTTCAACACTACCTGATTCATCTGAGCCATAGTCTAAACTCCTTAAAGGGGGGTTACATAGGGGATTATATAGGGCACTATTATAGAGGTTATTAAGGGGGATACTAGGAGTTTAGACTATAGCTCATCTGTCCCCTCGGGCTTCGCTTCAAGCTACTGGCTTTTAGTTGGCAGAAGAATATAAATTCTCAGCAACCCAGACCTCGTCATCCAGAAGACGACCCACGCACAGCAGCTGTACGGCCTCCACCCCAAGTGCTTGACTACTTGCTGGACAGAAAGCCGCGACTCAGAAATTGGGATGACATTCTCAGGCTGAACCCACAAACCTTGGGGCATCCGGTGGGTCTGGCAAGCTTTGTATCTGGATGAATTTTCGGGTCTGTTTTAGGCCGACTCGAGCAAAGCCTGATCTGGAACGCTGCACATCAGTGCAAGCTGACGCCGTGCAACTTGCACAGTGGCAGCACAGCCTTCCATTCACCGCTAACTCACGCGCTCCAACCGCACAGGCTTCACTGACTGAGACCAAGGCGGAATCGCAGACACAGTTGGTGGCCGGAGAGGAAGAGGAAGTGGATGTCCAGCTCTGCGTCACTGCGTGTTGACGGGAAGCCGAGGTGGCCAGCCCAAACAATGGGAAGGTACGGCACATAGCGGCTGCCATGTGGAGATGGCTTGCAGGCCGAGCCCGCCACACCCATGCTCGGCACAAGTTTCAGTCAAGGGAAGGCATGTGTTGGGCATTTTGTGACTTAAAAGTGCTTGGTGATTGACTAGATGAGGTTAAGATGTGATGTACAGCCAGCAGAGTCACCCTCCTCACAACCGTCCATGCGCGTTCTCCCATCAAATTGAGCAGAACCAGCCGCCGCAATCTACTAAAGACTCCCCGCTTGTGGCACACATGCGCAGGCAATGCAAAACTTCTAGATCAGGTGCCTGAGGACCACGATGTTGAACTGCTTTTGCTACCAACATGGCCCAAGGTCATGCGAGTGAATCTGGGCTTGGACTACAGACTCCAACAGAGTGTCGAGTGGCGGAACACTTCTGCCCAATTGTAGAGACGAGCAAGCTCACAGCCCAGCTACTTCACAAGGCGCAACTCTTTTCTGGGCACAGTTCCTCATGCACCATGGATATGGAGGCTACCAAAAGCTGCAAAGCCAATTCATGGTTGGCCTGGAAATCAGCATTGATTAGAACGCGACAGTTGAAAGCTCAGTTCCCACAGCCCCTCGGCTTTGCAGGAGTTGATCGTTGCGCGGCTGCTAATTCGGTCAGTGGGAAGCATGGCATCCTGCATGCAGGTGAAAAGGTGTAAGACTAGCTGCCACTGTCCGCTTTTCTCACACGAGCCTATGGCTGCGCTGTAGCTGATCTCATTGGGCACAAGCTTGGAGTTGGGCATGGAGTTGAAGAGACGCAGTGCGAGCTCCCACTGCCCGTCCTGCTCACATGCGCTCATCATGGCATTGTAGGTGATCTCGTTGGGTACGAGCTTGGCTTTGGGCATACAGCTGAACAACTGCAAGGCTAGCTGCCAGTGTCCAGTCTTCTGTAGGGCACTGATGGCGGCACTGTAAGTGACGACGTTGGGGGATATCTTGGACTTCGGCATGGAAATTAGTAGAGGCAAAGCAAGTTGCCATTGCCCAGCTTTCTCAAAAGAGCTGATGGTAGCATTGAAGCTGATGACATCAGGCAGAAGCTTGGCCTTCGGCATGGACGCGAGCAAACCAAGGGCACCTTGCCAGTGCCCACCCTTCTCACAAGCACTGATTGTAGCGCTGTAGCTGACAACGTCAGGTACCACTTTCTTCCTCATCATTAACATAAACAGCTTAAGGGCAAGTTGCCACTGCGCTTGCTTCTCGCAGGAGCTGATACTGGCGCTGTAGCTGATGACATCTGGAGCCAGGGCTGCCGTCGGCATGGTTGCGAACAGCTGCAAAGCAAGCAGCCACTGCCCACCCTTCTCGCATGCGCTGATGGCAGCATTGTAGCTGATCTCGCTGGGCACTAGCTCTGTATTTGGCATCCACACCAACATCTCGATTGCACGCTCCCATTGTCCGCCTTTCTCACATGAGCTGATTGTGGCATTGTAGCTAATTCTATCAGGGGTAAGCTTGACATTCAGCATACTTCCGAGCAAGTGGACTGCGAGCTCCCAGTGCCCGTGCTTTTCACATGCGCTGATGGTGGCATTGTAACTGATCTCATTAGGTGCAAGCTTGGCCTCTGGCATGCAACCAAGCACATGCAACGCGAGCTGCCAGTGCCCACCCTTCGCACAAGCGCTGATGGTGGCACTGTAACTAACCACATCGGGAGCTACCAGTGCTTCCGGCATGGAGTCCAACAAGTTCACGGCAAGTTGCGCTTGGCTGCCTTTCTCGAAGCTACTAATTGTAGAGTTGTAACTGATCACATCGGGTGCCACCCGTGCTACTGGCATGGAGTCACAGAAGTGCAGGGCCACCTGCCAATGCCTGGCTTTCGCCACGGCACAGATGGTTGAATTGTATGTGACCACATTGGGCACAACCCTACAATCCTGTAGGCACTCGAAGACACGAAGCGCCGCCTGCCATTTTCGGTGCTTGTCGCAGGAGCTGATTGTGGCATTGTAGCTAATGATGTCTGGCTGGACCCATGCTGCTGGCATTGAGTCCAGTATGTGAAGGCCGAGGTGCCATTGGCCGCCGCTGGCGCAACAGCTTATAGCTGCGTTGTAATTGATAAGATCCGGAGAAAACCTGCATTCCAACATGGAATTGAAAATGTACAAGCCTTGTTGCCATTCTCTGGCGCGAGCACATGTCGTCATTGCCACCGTAAGTTGTGGCAAGTTCAGCTTTGACAGCTTGTGCTTCCGAAGAATGTCCAACACAACAAAAACCAAACTTGGATGCTTCGAATTCTTCAGCTCTTGCAACACATGCATTACAGCTTCAGGGGACGTGCCCACATCCTAAAGCTGTGGAAGAAGGATCTGCTCTAGACTTGTACGGCTCCGAAACTCAGCGAGCTGTTGCAAGCTCTCTGCTGTCAGAAAGCTTGGAAGCTGACCCATCCTCCGGCTGCCATCCTGGGTGGAAGTACGGAGTGCTGGAACGGCGAAACCCCGCAAAGCCATCGTCACATGCGCTAACTACTCTGTTTGTGCGCCGCTACTTGTCGCACGAAACATATTCAACAATAACCCTTAATCAAAAATTTGCAAGCTGGAATGGAAGCATGTTGCGGTGCAATCACAAAAAATCGTGCATTACCCAGCGAAAGCAAATGCTACCGGCCACGGGCAAGGACATGTTCATGGAAGTGCGGATGACAAGACTGCATGTCGAAATGGCATGATTTTTGACCTCCAACCTTGTAAGTTTTCGCATAAGATTGAGCGAGCAAACTAAGCTACGCCGTTGCACAATCGTTTTCGGTAACATTTCTCATTTGCCAAATTTGTTACGGTTCTCTGGCCAAAGCCACTTGCAAAAGAAGGGGGGTGTCTATTTCTTGAAATAAACATGTAGATGTGTCACAAATTTCTACCAATTTTACTGTCTTCGTGCTTTCATGTAATAAGCAGAAAGCACGTCTGAAATATCATTACTAAGCATGGTTCATGTGCCTCACACTAATATTCCTATGTACCCAATAGTTTAATCAGTATTGCAATCAGTTTTACTATATATGGCATGTGCCAATTCAACTCATTCCTCTGTTAGTACTATACTACGTGGCCAAAAGCGGTGGTGTTACGTTTTCATGCGCAACAGACCTTTAATCTTAATCATAATATGCTTACTGCAATTACCAAGCTTACGAAGTAGCAAGCAGCTCTGCAGAAGTTCGAAGGACAAAGATTGTTTTTGTACGTTAAGTTCAATAAGCTGCTGGCATCGAATGGACGCCACACCAAGCTCATATTATCTAAAAAGGATGTATTTGGTTTGTCCTGAGCCCATGCTAAGATGAAAATGAATCAAAAACATATTCACATAGTGCAGAACGGCTGAACCCAAACTTTGAAAACAAATGCTTGAAGGTCAATTCCTGATAGTAATCACACCATCCCACGAAGAAAAAAAAACTGCTTTTGGGAATGGCAAAGGAACCCGCTCATATAATATAAGATCCAAACCATGACCACACCATGCGCAAAATCTTCGAAAGTAGCAGACGGACCCACTCATACGGACCCATTCAAAAAACACGAAGCCCATGTTATGGACAGGCTATGGACAAATCCTTGGAAGGTAATACCGGGACCCACCCATAAACTACTAAGCCCATACCACGCGCAGGTTCTGCGAAAAATGCTGCCAGGAAGTGAAGGGAACCACCCATAACACTAAACCCAAACTTTGCGTGCTATGCTAAATGTATACATGTGGAACATGAACGTTACAAAGTTTTGGGCATGGATGCTTTGGCAGCCCTATGCAGTTGGAACGCATATGTCAATATGTTTCGAACATTGATGCTCTGGAACACAAACATGATTCATTATGTGTTGCGTATGGATACCTTGGTAACCGTATGCATTTCAAACACGAATGTTCTTAGGCTATCCTCCGCCGCGTAATGCGCGTGATCCTAATTGTACAATAGTACGACTACTAGCACTACACCAGAAACGTGTGGTTTGCCCGGATTTGCATGTGCAAGTATATGCTGGTTTTCAAAATCGAAAAATGTTTGAATTGGAGGGTTTACGGTTCATTTTTTAAGAATAAAACTTTCTAGGGTGTAGGGTTTGAGGGCTTTGGGATTGTTTTTTTTGGTTCTGGGCGCTTTAAGGCTCAACATTTTTGAGGTTTCGGTGTTGCTTCCTGGAATTTATCTATGGGCCGTTTAATGTGTTTATAGATGTTCCAAGGCGTAAAATAATCATATAAAGACCCCAGATTAACGGTCGTTGCCATGGTTCCATAGTCCCAGCCCTACATTTTTAAGGCTTAAGGGTTGTTAGGGTTTAGGGGTCTTAGCGTTTGGGGCATAAAGGCTTTTGGCTTAATGCATTCCTGTCTTGTACCATGATAAAATCCAGCTCCACTTCGCGCTCATTGGCCCAAGCCGGGAATTGGTACACTAGAATTTTCCCATCGTCCTCCACCATCCCCTTGGCTACCTCCATACCGTTAGGGGAAAACTCAGAGGTTTAGGAGGACTATCAAGTTTATCGAGCAGAATATCCGTAAAGATAAATCAGGAAATTCCTTCACAGAAACGTGG